CCATGTGTGAGGCATACGCTCTGTCCATACGCCCTGATCATATGGGATGCTGGGGATCAAACCCAGGTTGGCCACGTGCGAGGCATACGCCCTGTACTATCTCTCCAGTCCCCAAAACAAAAAGTTTTTTGAACAGACAAGAAGAGAGAATTTTTGTGTTGTTCACCTGATTCCTTATCTGGCTGTTTTTGCCCTTACTGCCCTTTTTCATAAGAACTTGCAGGGTCTGAGGGACACACTTGATTTCTACCAGTTATTCCTGAGTCTTTCCCTTTGCAGAAATGGAACTGCATTTTAGCGCTCCCGGATGTCAACTTTGCAAAGATCTTACTCCACTTGAGCTCCAGGGAAGCCAGCAGTGCCTTGCAACTTTAAGGTCCTAATCCCAGCAAAGCAACAGAGGCAATTCTGTTTTTAGATTAGGTGATACACTTTGCTCACCTCTCTTCTGAACTAATTCTCACTGAACACTTAACATCTGATAGCATGCTATTTGCTATTTATTGTTATTACTGTGAGACAGAACAGAAAACAACATAAGGGAATGCAGGAAGAATTTTTTCTGGGGCTGAAACAAAAAAGTGAGCTATATTTTCTCCTGTGAAAGGTCTTGAGTGTTAAAATAATGAAAAATTAAGATCTTTGACATCAGTAAAGCACTGTAGCACTGTCCTCCCGTTGCTCGAGCAGGCACCAATAACGTCTCCATTGTGAGACTTGTTGTTACTGTTTTTCGCATATCAAATGTGCTATTCGCCATGTGGGCGAGATACCCTTGGTAGCTTGCCATGTGGGCGAGATACCCTTGGTGGCTTGCCGGGTTCTCTGAGAGGGGTGGAGGAATCAAACCCTGGTTGCCCGGTTGGTCGGGAGCATGCAAGACAAGAGCTCTACCCACTATGCTATCACTCCAGCCCCAAAAAGAAAAAAAAATGTGGCATGAAAAACTATTTTGCACATTTATAAAATAAATCCCACTTTCACTAACATGATCAAATACAGGACCTCACTAGGATCCTTTTTCAAGCCATTTCCCATATATCACAGGAGATATTTTACATGATACAGACTTCACTGATTCACGTTTGCTATAAAAATTTTGCAGAAGATGGCGCTACTGGTACATGCTGAGAACAAGGTATCTCTTTCTAATTTGCATAAAGGTAAACTAGGTATATGGGCTGCTACCATCTGTGGAAATTTACCTTGCTGGTAGAGGCAAGTGTACATGCAGTAAACATGATAAACATGACACAGAATCAGGAAAGTTGATTAATTTTGAAATAGGAAATAATTTTTGGGGAATGAAGTGAAAAGAAATACTAAAAAGTTTAAAATTTGCTTATATTGATCTGGACTGATAGTACAGCAGGTAGGGCATTTGCCTTGTATGTGGCTGACCCGGGTTTGATTCCTGGCATGTCATATGGTCCTCTGAGCACAATTAGGAGTAATTCCTGAGTGCAGAGCCAGGAATAACCCCTGAACATCACTGGGTGTGACCTAAATAAATAAATTAATTAATTAAATTAAATTTTTTTATATGGAAGTAATTCTGGGCTGGAGAGATAGCACAGAGGGTAGGGCATTTGCCTTGCACGCAGCCAACATGGCCAATCCGAGTTCGATTCCTCCGCCCCTCTCGGAGAGCCCGGCAAGCTACCGAGAGTATCTTGCCCGCACGGCAGAGCCTGGCAAGCTACCCGTGACGTATTTGATGTTCCAAACACAGTAACAAGTCTCACAATGTTACTGGGCCCACTCAAGCAAATCGATGAACAATGAGAGGGCCATGACCATGAAAGTAATTCTAGAGAGCTCAAGAGAGATAGTATAGTGGGTAAGGCACCTGCCTTGTACACAGTTGATTCTGGTTTAATCCTGGACACCCTGTATAGTCCCAAGTTTGGCCAGGAGTGATCCCAGAGTAGAGCCAGGGGTAAGTCCTGAGCCAAGTTGTGGCCCCAAAATCAAAATAATCATAGTAATAATAGTAATAATCATAATGGTAATAATAAACAAATACTAGATCAGGGGAGATGGTTCAAAATGCTGAAGGGCATGCTTTGTATGCAGAAAACCTAGGTTTAATCCCTGGTACTTCATGGTCCCCTGATTACCATGGGGAACAACCTCCAGCTCCAGCTGGGAGTAGCCCCAGAACACTGCTGGGTGGCTTGGATCAGATGTAAAGGGGCTGGAAACCACTGCTGTATAGCTAGTATTCTTCAACCAGGGGCCACATGGTTTTGTGACCCCCAAAGAGAATGAAGTAAAAACAAAAAACCAAACCTCAACTAATCAGCATTAACCCCTACGTACGTGACTCATTTGAGCAGGTATGACAAGAATAGATCTTCCTTGGTTGGAGAAATATGGTTGCAATACATTAGGCTGCGATGTACCTGAAAAGGCACAGCCCTGGGCTGGAGCGATAGCACAGTGGGTAGAGTGTTTGCCTTACACACAGCCAACCCTGGTTCAATTCCAGCATCCCATATGGTCCCCCGAGCACCACCAGGAGTAATTCCTGAGTGCATGAGCCAGGAATAACCCCTGTGCATCGCCGGGTGTGACCCAAAAAGAAAAAAAAAAAAGACACAGCCCTGAATATGCTTCTCTAACAACCCGCTAGGGATCACACCTGAGCACAGAGGCAGGAAACTGACTCCTAAGCACTAGAGAGAAGTTGTAACTCCCAAAGTTCCCTGGGGGGTGAGAGGGGACAGGGGGAGCCGGGGAAGGGGGGGTATGGTCTTCCTAACACAAGATTCTTTATTTACTAGTTTATTTGGCATATGAACCATATCCTGCAGCCCATGTCAGTTCTTGGGGATTACTCCTAGCAGGGTTTAGGGATACGAAGTGCCAGGAATTAAACTTAGGGATATCAGGTAGACATCACTACATCACTATCACTAACCTATGTTTGGGGGAGTCGGGGGGAAACGCACATCCAGAGGTGCTGAGGGTCTACTCCAGGCTCTTCACTCAGGGGTCACTCCTGGAAGTGCTAGTTGACCCAAATGGGGTGTTGAGGATTGAACCTATGTCAGTTGCATACATAGCAAGCACCTGACCCACTGTTCTATCTCTATAATCTCTCTGTATTTCTTTAGAGATGAGAAAGGCTAAGAGTTGCATGGAAAATGTACCAGACTCTTTTGACTTTTTCACACAGAACTAATCAAAAAGTGATTATGGAATACGGTACTGGGGACAGACTCTAAAGGTAAAAGGTAAAGGTAAAGGCCCTCCCGTTGATTGTCGATTTGCTCGAGCAGGCCCAGTAACGTCTCCATTGGAGACTTTGTTGTTACTGTGTTTGGCATATCAAATACGTCACGGGGAGCTTGCCAGGCTCTGCCATGCGGGCGAGATAGTCTCGGTAGCTTGCCGGGCTCTCCGAGAGGGGCAGAGGAATTGAACTCGGGTCGGCCATGTTGGCCGCTTGTAAGGCGAACGCCCTACCACTGTGCTATCGCTCCAGCCGGGACAGACTCTAGGACCTCATATATCCAAGGTAAGTGCTACACGACTAAGCAATATCCCCATTCACAGAAAGTCCTTCTTTTTCTTTTATTTTAAGCAAAAGAAAAATTCCTTAATCACTCAAGCACAGCTTCAACAGCCAAATGTTTTGAAGATATTATGATTAAATATTCAGCTAGTTTGAGCTAGGCTATGATTAAATATTGAGCTAGGCATTTTCTCTCAAATGAATTATCCTTCTTGGGATGAAAAACTATTAAGTTTTTGCCAACAATGAAGCTATAAGATGCACTGAGATGTACCAGCACTGAATAGAATGCAGATGGGCCCACACCACACAAGGTCAAAAACAACCAACGTGCACAAAACAACCAATGTGCACGGCTCATGGCAAAAAAGCAAGGGCTGGAAGTGTTCGTCTTGATCTAGAAGCCCTTCATTATCTTGCTAAGAACACCTTGGAGACCTGACCTTCATAAGCAACCCAGCTGGAATTATAATTCTTATGAAGGGAAATAGATTTAAGTTCATGTTTAGGAGAGCAGACAAAGCTGGAGAAATAGCACAGGTGCTTGCCTTGCACATAGCAAGTCTTGGTTCAACCTCTGGCACTGCACATGGTCCCTTGAGCACTATCAAAAGTAATCTTGAGCATAGTCAGGAGAAAGCTCGGAGCACCACGAGGTAAGGCCCGAACTCCCATCCCACCCCCCATAAAAATAAATAAATAATAGTAATTAAAGCATACGGAGGGCCAGAGAAATACCTCAATGTGTTGAATTCTGGAGGCCTGAGTTAATCTCTAAGCACTGCCAGGAGCAACCCTTGAGCCACACAGGGTATGTCCCCAAAACCAAAAGATCAAAAGAAGAAAAAAAAACCCACTTTCAGAACTTCAGTAAATTGGAAGGTGAAGAGAACTAACAGAATTCAGAATTTTTACAAGCACACTACATTTTATTTTATTTGGTTTTGGGGCCACACAGCACAGCGGGTAGGGCGTTCGCCTTACAAGCAGCCAACATGGCCGACCCGAGTTCGATTCCTCCGCCCCTCTCGGAGAGCCCGGCAAGCTACCGAGAGTATTCGATATGCCAGACACAGTAACAACAAAGTCTCCAATGGAGACGTTACTGGGCCCGCTCGAGCAAATCGACGATCAACGGGAGGGCCTTTACTTTACTTTACTTTACTCCTGGCTCTGCACTCAGGAATCATGCCTGACTGTGCTCAGGGGGCATATGGGATGCTGGGTATCAAACCCGGGTTGGCTGTGTACAAGGCAAGCACCTTACCTGTTGTGCTATCGCTCCAGCCCTCCATTCTAAAAACCTATTATCACACACTCTCCTTTTCATTTGTCTTCCAATATTAACACTGTCAAATTCTCCAGTGGGTTAACCAGAATGAATGCGATGTACATGAATTTATCAATAACCCTGTCAGGGGGTTAAGCAGCCCAATGAAAACAGCACACAAAGCACGTGGAACACACAGCATAAAACCAATCTATTCTGCAGTGAGTTTTATTGAATGCAAAGGGGGGGCATTCCCTTATGAAAAATAAAAACCTCAAGTCGCACAACCAAGCACAGTGAGAAAAACTGGCGGTGAAGCCCAACTGGGGCAGGCACCAGCTGATACCATGCGTGTAGTTTGTATTCAACACAAACAACGCAACATTTGCAACAGAACTAGACTATAAAACATGCCGGAGTGCGTGAGTCCTGGCTAGGCTCTGACTAACCTAGCACACTCTTCTTATCACCCAGGTAAGCTACAGAACTCATCTGCTTCGTTAGAGCTCTAAAGGTGGAGGAGGTCTACCATGGAGAATCTTCTTTTCTAGCTAGCTGCTTCCCCAATTCAGAGTTGCCTAGCAGATCAATTTCATGGTAACAGCCGTTGACCAGGTGTCAGGCACTGTGACAGCAGCAGGCTTAATATGTATGTTCTCAGGTTGCTGAGTCTCCTAGTCGGTGCTGGCCACCTCCCCTTGGTTCTGAGTATTCTGAGACTCGGTCAGCTGAGGATGAAAGGGACCTACCAGCCAGTTGAGAGGCGTGTTGTTAACAAGATAATCCATCACATCATCTAAAGACTCCTTCATTTTCTGCAGTTGCCCCTTGCTAGAAGTGAGGAGGCTCTCGGACACCTCTTTAAAGGAGCCCGCATTGCGAAACACGGAGTAGATGTCGCCAGCCATCAGCCCCAAGTGAGTGGCCTTATCCTGGATGTTCTGTGGTAACCCCTGCACGTTGGACAGGAGGGTGTGGCACGTTGTCTGCAGCTGCTGAGTCAGGTTCCGGGCAATAGCAAGAGTACGTGACTCGATGTGCTAAAAATAAAACAAGTTTTAAGAATTAACAGTGGCTCTAAGAATGTTACAAAAGAATTAATTCAATGAAAGCCAGCTGGTTAAATTAAGTGTGTGTATTCTTTCACTTTTTTTTTTTCTTTTTGGGTCACACTTGGCAATGCACAGGAGTTACTCCTGGCTCATACACTCAGGAATCACTCCTCGCGGTGCTCAGGGGACAACATGGGATGTTGGGAATCGAACCCGGGTCGGCTGCGTGCAAGGCAAACACCCTACCCTCTGTGCTATCGTTCCATCCCTCTTTCACTTAAAAAAAAATTTTTTTTTTTTTTTGGTCTTTGAGCCATACTGAGCAGCTACGTCTGACACTGAGCTCAGGGTCACTCATGGCAGTCCTCACTCCTGGTAATGTGAAGGAGACATCTACTTCTATGGTGCCAAGAATTAACTCTGACCTCATTCCAGTCCACTGAAAAAATCTCTCTGGCCCTAGATTTTTTTCACTTAAAAAAAAAATATCCTTACAGCCTTAAGTACAGTAGTATATTATTCACACTTCACTGTAAGAAACATAGCTAAGAGTTTTAAGTAATCCACCCCAGTTAACCACTGGGAAATCAGAGTGGGGATTTGAACCAGTGCCAAAGACTTTAAAACACCTGATCCTCTTGGGGCTGGTGAGATAGTACAGTAGGTAAAATGCCTACCATTTGGCTGAACTGGGTTCAATCCCTAGCATTTCATATGGTTCCCTGAGTACTGCCAGGTATAAACCCTGAGCACAGCTGGGTGTGGCCCAACAAACAAACAAAAACACCAGTTCATCCTCTTAGACAAAGGAAACAGCTCAATGGGCTGCGCTCATGCTTCACATGCAGGAGACCCAGGTTTGATTATTGGCACCACGTGGTCACTTGAGCATAAAGCTGTGAGTAACACTGATGGTGCTGGTTCAAGCCCCAAAACAAAAACATTGGGGCTGGAGCCAGGAGTAACCCCTGTGTATCGCCAGGTGTGACCAAGAAAGGAAAAAAAATTAAAAATGGCACCAGTAAAAATACTTATAGGACTAGTCCATACCCATTATGAGGGCTAGGCCAGTGTTTCTCATTTAGCTATCGCTCACTAGTGGCTGTGTGCCAATCCATAGGGGGTTAGATATAGTTACTGACATTTTGGTCTTCCATAACATAAAATGCAACATAAAATTTCAAAGGACTATTCGAACTTTATTGTTAGTATTATTTTGTTTCTTAGGCTGGTGCTTAGGGGCTGGCTACTCCTGGCTCTGTGCTTGGGGACAAGCCCAGTAGTGCTCAGGGGTCCATGTGATACTGGGAATAGAATCCAGGCCTCCCTCACGCTAGGCATTTGCTGTCTGGCCCCTCACTGGAACTTCTTGTTTTTTTGTTTTTTTTGTTTTGTTTTGTTTTTTTTTTGCTTTTTGGGTCACACCTGGCAGTGCACAGGAGTTACTCCTGGCTCTGCACTCAGGAGTTACTCCTGGTGGTGCTCAGGGGACCATATGGGATGCTGGGAATCGAACCCGGATCAGCCGCGTGCAAGGCAAACGCCCTACCCACTGTGTTATCTCTCCAGCCCCTCCTCACTGGAACTTCTGATAACTGTTTAAGAAGAATAAGGGGACACGGAAGAGACCTCATGAGAAACTACACTGATGGCTATCTTACCTCAGCACAATGGGATTCATCTGTATCATCATAGCCAATGCTCCTCTTCCACTCTACCCAGGAGAGATAGAGCTTATCCTGAGCGCCCTGGAGCGTCTGGTTTGCACTGTGCACATTCCTCCTGGCAAATTCAATCTGGAATACATTGGAATAAGACAGAGGAATAAAATAGTCAGACATTCCTGTCAGCCTGTTCTTGGATCTCTGATGTAAATCTTACCTCAAAACCAAGAATTTTCCTTAAGAGTTTAAAGAGAATCGGGGGCCAGATCAATAGTATAACGGGGAGGGGTTGGCCTTGCATGAGGTCAACCCGGGTTCAATCTCTGGCATATAGTCCCCTGAGCACCGCCAGGAGTAATTCCTGAGTGCAGAGCCAGGAGGAACCCCTGAACATTGCCAGGTGTGACCAAAAAAAAGGAAAAAATAAGTTTTTTTTTCTTTTTGGGTCACACCCAGCAATGTACAGGGGTTCCTCCTGGCTCTGCACTCAGGAATTACTCCTGGCGGTGCTGAGGGGACCATATGGGATGCTGGGAATTGAACATGGGTCAGCTATGTTCAAGGTAAACGCTCTACCTGCTATACTATTGCTCCAGCCCTGAAAAAAATAAAAGAGCTTTAACCCTGCCATCATTACTATTCATTACCAATACATGTAAGTAAAACAAGTAGTCACAAAGTTTTTACTGCCTGTATTTAACTCTTACACCACTGTCACCCAATTTCCCTCCACTTTAAGACAGATAGAGCAACTGAAATTTGATATGTATATGTGCAAAATTTAAGTTAAAGTGCTAAAGAGATTAAAGACAAAAACTTTCTTCTTCCTGCTGCCAGCAACCTATTTCCTCTCTGGGAAGAAACCTTTGATTTTTTGTTTGTTTTGGTTCGGGGGGCTACACCAGGCAGTACTCAGGCTCTATGTTCAGGGATCATTTGGCAGGCTTGGGGAACACTATGAGGTACTGGAGATCGAACCTGGGTCAGCAGCTTGCAAGGCAAACATTGTGCACAGCTGTACTATTGCTCAGGCCCCAAGAAACCCGTTTCTCATTTATGAGAGTCCAGTGCATACTGTTCTGTAACTTGGCAATCCATAAGGACTACACAGTAATCCTTTGTGATGTATCAACTTAATTTGTTTCCTCTCAACTGACCTACATTGCTCATAGTCTTTTGCAACTCTGAACAAATATACAAAGCCTGCAGGATAAATTTTGAAAGAAATAAACTTGCTGGAGACATAGGTGTGTTTGTAATTTTCTTAGTGGAGTCTCTTGAATTCTTCAGAAGCCCAGAACACACCCCTGCCTCTACATGGGAGGGCGTCAACAGTGCCAAGCTCTGCAGAGTAACGGGGCTGGAGAGTTAAGTGTAAGTTGACGCCTCAGAGTAAGAGTAACATGATCTCATCTGTTCAGGCTATTTATACTTCTCATTCCTGGGTTGTCTAGATAGTCTTTTATCCATTTTTCCATTGGGTTGCTCATAACGTAAGATTAAAATTATGGACTTTCGGGTCTGGAATGATAGAACAATGGGTAGGGCGTTTGCTTTGCACGCGGCCAACCCAGGTTCAATCCCCAGCATCCCATAGGGTCCCCCAAGCACCGCCAGGAGTAACTCCTGAGTGCATGACCCAGGAATAACTGGGTGTGACCCAAAAAGCAAAAATAAAATAAAATAAAATAAAATTATGGACTTTCATGTTTTGTTTTGTTTTTTTTTTGTTTTCGTTTTTATTTTTGTGCCACACTTGGAAATGTTCAGGGCTTATTTCTGTCTCTTTCCTCAGGAATGACTCACAGCAGGCTCAGGCTACCACATGAGATAAGCCACATGGAAGGCAAACCATACCCATTGCATTGTCGCTCAGGCCCCACGGACTCTCATGTTTCCGTTTTATCTCATCCCTCAAGACAAATGAACTCAGTTCCTAACTTGAAGTTTTACTCACCATGTTAACAGTGGAGTGGAGCTGAGAAATGGTCTCCTGGCTTTTCTGCTTCGCCTCCTTAACCCTGCCAAGGGCCTGCTGGTAGGCACGTGAGCGGAGTTTGGTCGACAGGGATCCCAGTCTAACATAGTAGCTCGGCTTCTGAACCGTTTCAAATCCTTCCATTTTTTTGGCTTCTCTTTCTGAAGTAAGAAGAGGGGTGGGGGAAGAACTCTGTAAGGCCTAGACTCAAACATAGATTCCCCTCCTTCTACCTACCCACTTAGTAAGTACGCATCAATGTTTCATAGCTATGTCTGCTATTGGGCTTTTGGGTTGGTTTTTGTTTTTTTTTTTAGCTTTTTGGTTTGGGGGCCAGACCCAGCAGTGCTCAATAATTACTCCTGGTGGGCTCAGGGGACCATTTAGGATGCTGGGGATCGAACCCAGGTCAGCCGCATATAAGACAAATGACCTATCTGCTGTAATATCACTCTGGCCCCCTGTTGGGCTTGACTCTTCAGAACTTACCACTCTATCTGACATTTTCATCTACACATCTCTTCTCACCTAGAGTGAGGTACTGGGCCACCCAGTACTCGGCACTAAATGTTTAACAGGTCTATAATGCATCCCATTAAAGCCAAGTCAGTCACAGAAAATCCTACTCAAAGGCTAACTGCTCCTTCATATAGCAAGTTCAAAAACTTACTACAGTTCACTGTCAAAAAAGACAAAAAGATAGTAGTGGACTGAGGGAGAATTAGAATTTGACTACAGGTACACATAAAGGTTCTTTTATGGTGATAAAAAAAAAAGAAAAAAAACCAACTCTAAAACTGAATTAAGGTAATGGTTCAGCAATTCTACACACTTAGAATGAATTTTCTTGGTGAATGCTTAGTGAATGCAAGGTTATTTGTTCAGTTATTTTTTGTTTGTTTTGTGTTTAGGTGGGCTTGTTTTTTTTTTTTCATTTGTTTGTTCTGTTTGGGGTCACACAGGCAGCTGATGCTCAGGGCTTACTCTTGGCTCTGCACTCAGGTATCACTCCTAGTTGTGCTATCTCTCCAGTCCCTTTTTTTAGTTTGTTTTTGCTTTTTGGGTCACACCCGGCGTTGCACAGGGGCTATTCCTGGCTCATGCACTCAGGAATTACTCCTGGCAGTGATTGGGGGACCTATGGCATGCTGGAAATCGAATCCGGGTCGGCCACGTGCAAATACCCTACCTGCTGTGCTATCGCTCTAGCCCCTATTTTTTATTTGGGGGCCTCATCCAGCAATTCTCAGTGCTCAGAAATCATTCCCAGAGGTGCTTGGGGGACTATGAAGCAGGAGGGATTGAAGCCAGGCTTCCTGCATACAAAAGTATGCCCTTAACTCGCTGAACTATCTCTCAGGCCCTGCTTTTGGTCTTTAAAAAATATGAAAATGAAGTTGCTTCTAAAAAGCTTGCTATTTGGACCAGAGAGATAACCCAGGAATTAAGGACTTGCCTTCCATGGGACTGCTTTGGCCATAACCCTGGTTTTATCTCTGGCACTACATAAAGTTCCCTGAGAACCTCCAGGAGTGATCACTGAGCAAGGAGACCCTGAGCATGGAAAAACAAACAAACAAGAAGTCAAATATGAGGCCACAGAGAGAGCAAGAATTAAAGCACTTGCCTTGCATATGGCTGGCCCTGGTTCAGGACCACATCGGGTCCCGAGCATCACCGGAGGTCACTTCTGCTCACAGAACCAGCAACAGCACCACAGAATGTGCCCTCCACCCCCAGATATGTGAAAATAAAAGGATATCATTTCAAGACAAACATCCAATTACCTAATTCTTCCTCGGTGAGAGGGAGGTACTGGTCTACCAGCAGCTCTGACTGGGTGAGGGCATTTTCTACACCACTGCTCACCAGCTGCATCATCCGACTTCCCAAGACCGTATTGATGCTGCCATTGACCACAGACTTGGTTTTATTTACACTGTCAGTCATTGCTCCTTTGGTCTTATCCATCACCTCCGTAATTGTGCTGGTCACAGACTCCTTGGCTCCGGTCACAGTAGCTGTCATAGCATCTTTTGCCCCAGTCACAGCACCTTTGGCGTTGGCAACAACCTACAGGTACAAGAGCAGATAGACACCTTGGCTGGTGAAAAACATGAGCACAGATACATATCTATCTTTTTTAAAGGTCTTAGGTGGAATAGGTGCAGATTTAAAAGAATTCAGTCTGCTCACTCTCTAGCTTTAGGTTTTGGGCAAGTCACTCAATGCTACTGAACCTTAATTTCCTCATCAGGTGTCTCTGCCCTATCTGCCACCTGCAAGTCTTGTTAGAGGAGCAAATAAAGCACATAAATTTCTTTCATTTATTTATTTATTTATTGCTTTTTGGGTCACACCTGGCTATGCACAGGGGTTATTCCTGGCTCAGGAATTACTCCTGGCAGTGCTTGGAGGACCATATGGGATGCTGGGAATCGAACCTGGCTTCGCCACGTGCAAGGCAAATGCCCTACCTGCTGTGTTATAGCTCCAGCCCCACATATTTCTTTTAAAATCCTCCATTTCTCAAACTTAGTTTTTGTGCCATATCCAGTAGTACTCAGAGATTATTCCTGGTTCTGCACTCAGGGATCACTCGAGTGGAGTTTAGGGGTGCTGGGGATCAAATCCAGGTCAGTCGCATGCAAGGCAAGAGCCCTACCCACTCCAGCCACTCATTAAAAAACAAAACAAACAAACAAACAAGAAATACCTAGCTGAACCTGTAATAAGTTAAAGGGATTCTGGAGAATTTTCTACCTTAATATGCTTTATAATCAGAGCATCTCAGGCAAGAATGCGGCTCACTGAGAGCACAAATTTAGATACTGCCATTTATAATGGTGCAGAGTCCCAAGACCAACACAGAAGCCAGTTCACCATCCTGCCAGATGATCAGCCAGCAAGCTCTCCCTCAGAGATCTCTCCAAAAACACCAGTCTGGGACTGGAGAGATAGGACAGCAAATACAGCACTTGCTTTGCACTTGTCTGACCCAGGTTGATCCCCAGAACGCTTTATGGTCACCCACCACCTCCAGGAGTGATCCCAAAGCACAGAGCCAGGAGTTAGCCTGAGCACTGCCAGATATGGCACCCTGCCCCCCTCAAAAAAGAGAGGATTTCACATTCTATAGACTAAACACAAAACTTGTCTATTTAGAGATGAAAGGCATGATTCTGTTTTCCTTAACATACCTTTTTGTGCCATGCTGTATTTTAATTTACAATAAAGTTCTAGGACAAAGCTTCACCAAGACGGATGAGTCTATTATTTTAGTCAATATTGGCTAGACATCTAATGCTAGGTGATGGTACCAACACTACAAAAAGCAAGTGAGAAAAGCTTCTACATACCACTTACCAAAAACAAGGGAATCAGTTATTTGGGAAATTTCATCTGCAGAGACAATGCCATAAATTTATAGCACTCAGGGCCAGCAAGCTAATATGTGGTGTGTAAGCTGCTTGCCTTACATGCAGCCAAGACTGGTTTGATCCCCAGGACCAGTATAGTCCGCTGAGCACAGTCATGGGCCACTCCTAAACACCAAGCATGAGACAGCCTCTGAACATCACCAGGTGTTGTCCGAAAACCCAATATAAATAAAAATGAATGCATTTGGTCCAAAAATTACTCATTCATCTCTGTACATATAACATGGCAAGTGGTTCAGGATAAAAGGGAGTGGCCAGAATGCTTTTAGAAATGCATCTAGGTTAAGGAAACAAATAAATACTTCCTATTCATGGTATATACAGCCTGTGCTACAAAGAACATTAAAATACTTGAGGTTACAATATTGTTGTACCACTGTAAAAAATTATATGCAATGACAACTTGTATATAATGACAAGCATTTGTATATAATGAAATAAAAATGACAACATAAAAAAATAAACAAAAAAATGTGAGGTGGCTAGCCTCAACACTATTATTCCATGTTTACCTGATCTGTTGGTTGATTCAGAATAGGGAGTTTTTCCTCAATCCTGTCCAGCCCCTTACAGGCATAAGTATTGGCAACTGCAACTAGAAGAATCACAAATAGAGAAAGTGTTAAGAGTAAAGAAGGGACACTCATTAAGCCTGATTCTAAGAAACAGATAAGTTGCTCTTCATTTCCTAGTTCCTCTTACTCGGACAATAAGGGTAACTGGTTGGACAAGTTTCTGCTAATCGTCTTATGACAGGGAAATAAAGGGATTCAGGGAATAGCAGGTGGAGGCAGTGACAGGCCAGATAGGAAGCTGGCTAAGAAACAACTTCCTCAAGAGAGAAAACAAAACAAAACAAAACACAAACACAATTTCCTCATCAATTGGCACCTAAAGTTCATGATGAAAGATGTTTGTCTTCACCTGAAACTTCTTTCAGGGAATAAGCAACCTGAAAATTCTCAGAAGTACTCTTTCTATGCCTGTTTAAATCCCTATGCATTTAATTCAGTAAAGAATGGTACGTTTGGGGGCTGGAGCGATAGCATAGAGAGTAGGGCGTTTGCCTCACACGTAGCCGACCTGGGTTCTATTCCTAGCATCCCATATCCCGAGCACCGCCAGGAGTAATTCCTGAGTGCATGGGCCAGGAGTAGCCCCTGTGCATTGCCAGGTATGACCCAAAAACCAAAAAAAAAAAAAAAAAAAAAAGAATGATACCTTTGGGTTATCACTGGGAAACAGTATGCTAACAGAATCCTGACTCTCCCTAAGAAGGCCCAGATATTATTCTTATTTTTTTATTATGTTTTAATAGATGCTCTAATGTATCTGGGTTGTTCCCACTTTTAATTTTTATATATTTGGGGATGGGACTGGAGCCACACCCAGCTGGGAAAGCTACTCCTAATTCTGCGCTTGGGGTACCATGTGGCACCAGGGACTGAATAAAATATAATCTTTTGCAATTATAAAAACTCTTTAGAGACTAATTTTGCTATTTCTCAAATGAATTTATTGTTAATAGTTGCCTCAGCCATCCTTTGTTAGGGGGAGGGGGAGAAAGAAACGAACTAAAATCTCAACCTTGCCAGAGGATGTGACTAAACACACAACTTGTGTGCATGAGTTATCATATGACCCCTCAACTTTACTCTGAGGCATATGCCAATACTGAGTAATCTCTGAGGGGCTTGTTTGGTCCTTTAGTTTCTAAACCATAGCCAGTGTGCTCAGGAGCTACTCCCAGCTCAGAACTGTTAATACCCAGGGGATCATGTTGTCCTTAGGGATTAAATCTGGCTCTCTCAAGGCAAAAGCATGCACTGAGTCCCCTGAGAGATCTGTCCTACAGATGGATCTCTGGAGGGATTTCAAGTATCAGGAATACCTTCAATGGTTCCAAACATGATCCTTATTTATTTATTTGGGTGGAGTGTCACACCTAGTGATGCTCAGGGATTACTCCTGGCTCTGCACTCAGGAGTCACTTTTGATGGTTCTTGGGGGACCATCGGGGATGCCGGGGATTGAACCCTGGTTTAGCCACGTGGAAAGCAAAAACCCAACCTTCTGTACTATTGCTCCAGCCCCATAATCCTCATTTTAGTACAAAGAAGGTCACTAGCAGTTTCCAGGTAAAGGCAGCATGTTTCTCGGGAAGGCTGAGGACTTCCTGACTTGACTCTACTGTGTGTTCAGGATATTGGCTGGCATTCGCCACACGCAAGCCAGCCTCACACACCAATACATCCCTTGACCACAATCTTGAGGGGTAACTCAGAACTTACTCTGTGGCTCTAGCTTCTGGATGATGGGCAGAGTGCTCGTCACAGCCACGGAGGTGATGGTCTTCACGCCCTTCTCTGCCATCTCACACACAGATTTCAGGTAGGGGTGCTGATCCTTGGTAGTGATGTAAGCTGAGGAGACTAGGTCATACGTGGAGCTGACCAAGGGGAGGTTGGCCACCCTGGTCACCACACTCTGCAACCAAGTGGGGCGGGGGGAAGGTTAGCATCTCAAAGCACATGGCAGGAAAAGAAATCAAGAAACAGTTATTAGAGATACATACCGGCTGTGGCTCTACTGCAACGGATGCCATTTTTCTTGCTGGCAAAGGAGGAAATCTGTGGAAGAGAAACTTACTTCAGGACACTTGAATAAGACATTCTCAAGTTATTCTCCAGCATGAGCAAATGCTAATTTCTAGTGGAGAAAAATTCCTGACTTGGTAAATGTACTCTTTTTGGTTTTGTTCTGTGACCATCACCCACTAGTGCTCAGGAATTACTCCTGAGACTCTCATGGGACCTTATGGAGTGCTGGGGATCGGACCAAGATGGCAGGGAGCAAAGCATGCACCCTACCTGGTATCCTATCTCTCCTGCCCCTATAGTCTTGCATAAGCTTTCCCCAGCCCTGCCAACACCTTGGAATAGAAAGTTCCAAACTTCCCAGAGAAAAAGGCTCCCAAGGGAAAAGCAACAGTTGTTGATGTATTTGTCCTGTTTCTCCACCAAATGCCACTTGAAAAGGACTACCCTGCTCACCATGATGGTAATCAGTTCAAATCCAAGCTAAAAGGAAAGAGATTTCGTACAGAAAACATCAAGACACTTAAAACTATGTCTTTGTCACACTTGGTAAATCATTTATTCCTTCCTTATGAACGGACTTAAAATCCTTTAGAGAGACTGAACACAAATGAAGGTGTGGCAGGAAGGAATTAGATTTCTGGAGGCTTTTAAAGGTAAATTCAGTGTCCCCACAGAAGAGGAAGAGAACAGGCACCATATATATGGCTGCTCCCACTCCCCAGCACTGCGGGTGTGGCCCCAATGAGGCTCCAGGAACCAGATATGGTGCCTGGAATCAAACCTGGGTGTGTGGTATGCAAAGCAAGTGTCCTACCCATGTGCTATCTCTCTCCAGCCCCTTTGGATCCACATATTTTAAAAGGAAAAAAAAAATGGGGAGGGGAGGAGGGACCTGGAGCAACAGAACAGAGGCTAGGGCATTTGCTTTGCACTCAGCCTACCTTGGTTCGGACCCCCCCCCCCCCATGCCTCCAGATGGTCCTCCCAGCCCTACCAGGGGTGATCCCTGAGTACAGAACCAGGAGTGAGCCCTGGGCACCACCGGGTGTGCCCACCCCGCCAAATAAAAATTAAATCTCCTCACTGGTCCATTGCTCAGAGAGCTGGAGCGAAGGAGACCCGTGTTCCGTCCCCAAAACCGCACTGTGGGCAGAGCACAGCTGGAGACAACGCGGGGCCACTTCGAGGTGTGGCACATAAACCGAAGCAAACCGAAACTGCCAAAGCACCTGTGGAGCCGCGGGGCTCCGCTCCTGGGCCCGACAGCTCGCCGTCCGGCCACCAAGGGTCCCCGCAGCCCCTCTGGGAAGGCGTTAAAGACCCGCGCAGCCCGGAAGGCGGAAGTCACGCGCCAGGACCGCAGCACCCCGCCCCTTGCCCCTCACGGCTCCCCACCTCGATGATTTTTATGCTTTTCCTTTTTTTTTTTTTTTTTTTTTTTTTAATGCTCCGGGAGCCCGGCACCCAGCCAACCCCACCAAGATGCCCCAATAGCACTACAGCGGCTGGCACAACAGACGCCGCAGCCAGCAAGACTAGGGTCGCCAGCAGGGGCTAGGGGACACCCGTTTTTACCAGCCTGGCCCGGACCCCTTGCAACCCAGAGAGAGGCCAGCGCCCAGCCTGGCCCGGACCCCTCTGGCAACCCAGAGAGAGGCCAGTGCCCCGCCTTGAGCCCCAAGACGGCCAGAGCGATCTCACCCACCCGCCGCGATCTCCTGGAGCTCCCCCAACTCGGCCCTGCAGGGTACCAGCCGGGACACTGACCCGCAGCAGCTGTAGCCTGGCCGGAGGTGCGCGAGTCCAATACGGCTCTGTCTTCCCGAACCCGGGCGCTCTGAGTTCCCGGCCCCGCCACCCAACTATATACGGTGCGCGCCCCGCCCCCCCCCGCACGTGACCCTCGCCCGGGGGCACGGAACCGCCTCGGGCAGCGGGCGAGTCACCCCTCCCCGCGGCCCGCTTCCAGGGTGGGGTTCCTCCGGGGTTAGGGTTCGAGGCTCACCGCCAAGAAACTGCCCAGAAGCGCCCGGGCGGAATTGAGGGTTTTGCACAAGGCAGTCGCCGAGCCTCGCTTCTAGACAGTTATTTTTAGCAAATAAATTTTTGGTTGGTGTGTGAAAGTTTAACCCCAGGAGGTTTCCACTGCCCTTCTGACTTTAAAGTCAAACCTTAAATACGTTTCTGGGTTAAAGTTGAGTCGGAATTTTTAGAAAGGACCTCGGAATAGAATATCGTGGGTTGGCTTCCCCGCCCCCACCTCCCTTCCCCCCACCCCACCCCTCCTTTTTTCCTTAGTAAAACTTAAACCCAAACGCTCCTGGATGATACCTGCTAATGCTTATTAGATACGTGGGCCAATATCAATTTTTCAGTTGTAGATCACGCTTTTGGGGGGGTGGGGGAGAGAGGGAAAAAGTTAAAGGCTGGAACGACAGTACAGCGGGTAGGGCGTTTGCCCTAGGTTTGATCTTCGGCTCCCTGTATGGTCCCCCCGAATCCCCTAACCAGGAGTGATCCACGCAGAGCCAGGAGTAAACCCTGAACACAGTCGGGTGTGGATCAAGAGCCCCCTCACCACCCCCCAAAAAATTTATAAGCTTACTCTGAGATGAAATGCAGGGATTTGGAGCCTATGCAAGGTCTGTAGAAGTTCCCTGAACCTCTCCCGTTCTGGGTGTGTGAGGGAGGGGTCTCCAGGTGAATTTGCCTCAAACCTCTGCCCCGCCCCCCACATACACCCCAGGCACCTACAGAAGTATCAGGTAAAGTAGACTGGACAATCCGGAGGTCCTTAGAGGGCTGGAGCCGGCTTGTGCTTGCTTTGTAATGTGGAGAGATTGGCGCTGGAGCAGGAACCAGACAACTGGCTTTGTCAAACTATGGATTTTGATTCCTGAAAACCCTCAGAGGCCATCCCCTCCACTATTAATTATTAATTAGTGTTCTAGGAACACGGATTGTTCTATTTAAAACTCCAACTAGCCCAGTGAAAATGGAGTCTTTATTCACCACTCTGGGCTAGAGCGATAGCACAGCGGTAGGGCGTTTGCCTTGCACGCAGCCAACATGGCCCACCCGAGTTCGATTCCTCCGCCCCTCTCGGAGAGCCCGGCAAGCTACCGAGAGTATCTCGCCCGCAGAGCAGAGCCCAACCTGGCAAGCTACTGGTGATGTATGCGATATGCCAAACACAGTAACAACAAAGTCTCACGATGGAGACGTTACTGGGCCCGTTCGAGCAAATCGATGAACAACGGGATGACCTTTACCTTTACCTTTTATTCACCACTAATCAATAACTCTAGGGACCCACACTAAGAAAACAATTTACAGTATTGCCTTCCTTCCCTCATCTGTCCACCAACAAGATAGCAGGTAATGGAAAATAAAATCAGCACTGGGACCAGAATGATGGTACAGCGGATAAGGTGCCTTTGGGTGCAGTGGACTCAAGTTCAATCCCCACACCACATATGATCCCCTGAACCCTGCCAAGAGCAATCCCTGAGCCGGGTGTGGCCTAAAAAAACAAAAAGAAAAGGGAACAAGTAAAATATAGCACTAAAGCAACAATTAAATGTTAGGAAGTTAAAACTAAAAAGTCAGGTTAACTTTTGTTTTTTCCCCCGTGAAATGTCTTCAGTGCTTAAGCAATCAAGTGATTCCATTTTTTCCTTTTCTTTTTGGCAATCCAGCAAGACTGGTAAGGGGTATTTGGTCTTTCTTCTTAAGCCACCCCTGCCCTGATGTAACACAGCTGCAATGTACTGGATTTTGAGTAATGGTGGTGTGTTTTTCATTACGCACTGATCTGACCTCCTATTTTGCAAGAGATTCTTGCCCTTTCACCTACAAAGGCCCTTTATTTTCTTTTTCTGCTGTAAACCCCTGAGTCATAGGTTTGAGAAAGAGCAAGCTTCCTTTTGCTTTTCTGCGCTTTTGAAGGAGAGCATTTACAGGCACTAAGCTTAAAGTCTGACTCCTCAAGCCCACTGAGGAATGAAACCCACTAGTTTCTGCACCTTCCACTCCTTCAGCTTCCTGAGAAGTTGGGGTGAAGGACAAGAACAACATCCAAGTGCTCGGAAAAAGCCTTTTTCAACTGGAGAGAGGGCTGAATATGCCATTCCCTGGCCCCCCAAAATATTCCAAAGGTGTCACAAAAGAGAATGGAGTAAGTAGAGAGCCATAGTATGAGATTTGATGGCCAGCCACTAGGACAGTGGCCTCAGGCAGAAAGGAAGAACAGAAGGTGGAGGGTCACAGAAAGAAAAAGGGTGAGATTCAATGATTCTGGTGCTCTCTCCACTTTAAGAACCTTTTTTCTACACAAGTGTTTTTGCAGAGAACTAAAAAACCAGTCAGGGTACTGTGCTCAAAGAACTAAAGGATCTGAACCTGCATGGGGGGCTTGCTAAGCACCCTGCTTTCTAGGATAGACCTACCCAGTCAGGATGGGGCCGGAGACCCAGACACTGCATCTGAAACTGCTGTGTTTTGAGCACCATCACTTTCCTCTTAGCACTTACACATATTCTTTATGTTTGAGCTGAACAACAGTCTGGAAACTCAATGATGGAATGGGGAATTTCACACTGATTGGTTTGTTTTATTTAAGGGTCACATCTGGCTGTGGTCAAGATTTACTCCCATCGCAAACTACAGTTTCTAGAAGGAAAAGAGGAACACAAAAGAGAGGGAAAAGTGTCAGCCATAGAGGCAGTCTTCAGAGTCAAGGGAGAAACAGAACATTGGTGGCAGGGAAATGTACGCTGGTTAAGAAATGGGTGTTGGATGTACAAAAGTAAGATCAAAATGGATTAAAGACCTCAACATCAGACCAGAAACCATAAGGTACATTGAAGATAAAGTTGGCAAAACCCTCCATGACATTGAAGCTAATGGTATCTTCAAAGATGCCACGCCACTGGCCGAGCAAGTGAAAACAGAGATAGATAAATGGGACTATCTTAAACTAAGAAGCTTCTGCACCTCCAAAGAAACAGGGACCAAAATACAAAGACAGTCTACAGAATGGGAAAGGATATTCACCGAATACACATCTGACAAGGGGTTGATATCCAGGATATACAAAATACTGGTTAAACTCCACAAGAAGAAAACATCCAACCCCATCCAAAAATGGGGCAATGAAATGAACAGAAAATTTCTCAAAGAAGAAATCCGAATGGCAAAAAAGCACATGAGAAAATGCTCTACATCATTAATCATCAGGGAGATGCAGATCAAAACCACAATGAGATACCATCTCACACCTCAGAGACTGGCCCACATTCAAAAGAACAAAAGCAACCGATGCTGGCGTGGATGTGGCGAGAAAGGGACACTCCTTCACTGTTGGTGGGAATGTCCACTGGTTCAGCCCTTCTGGAAAACAGTATGGACGATTCTCAAAAAATTAGAAATTGAGCTCCCATTTGACCCAGCAATACCACTCTTGGGAATATATCCCAGAGAGGCAAAAATGTATAGTCGAAGTGACATCTGCACTTGTTTGTTCATTGCAGCCCTCTTTACAATAGCCAGAAACTGGAAGAAACCTGAATGCCCAAGAACAGATGACTGGTTAAAGAAACTTTGGTACATCTACACAATGGAGTACTATGTAGCTCTTAGAAAAGATGAAGTCATGAAATTTACATACAAGTGGTACAATATGGAAAGTATCATGCTAAGCGAAATGAGTCAGAAAGAGAGGGATAGACATAGAAAGATTGCATTCATCTGGGGGATATAAAGTAACAAAGTATGAGATTAATACCCAAGAATAGCTGAGATCAGCACCAGGAGGATTACTCCATAACTTAGAGGCCAGTCTGGTATCCTAGAGGAAAGGGCTATTCAGATAGAGAAGGGAGCACCAAATAAAGGATGTTTGGAGGATCCTCCCAGGAGGGGAGATGCATGTCGAAAGTAGACTATGGACTGAACATGTTTGCCACTCAATGCCTCTTTTGCAGACCACAACACCCAAAAGGAGAGAGAGAACACAGGGGATTGCCCTGCCACAGAGACGGGGGGATGGGGGGATGGGGGTGGGAGGGATATTATCCATGGTGGTGGAAAATGGGCACTGGTGGAGGGATGGGTATCTGATCATTGTATAATTGAAACCAAAGCACAAAAAATTGTAAACCTACAACTTTAAAAAAAATAAAATAAAATAAAGGGGAAAAAAAAAAAAAAAAAAAAAAAAAAAAAAAAAGAAATGGGTGTTGGGATACTGTAAGACTGAAATTAAATCATAACTTTGTAACTGTATCTCATGGTGATTCAGTAATAATAATAACGATAATAATAATAATAGCAACAACAACAAAAAGATGTAACCTGTCTCTGTGCTTAGATATCAATCCTGGATGTGCTTGGGGACTATATGTGGTACCAGGGATCAAACCCAGGTCAGCTTTGTGCAAATAAAGGCCCTATTCCTGTACTGAACTATCTTTCCAGTCCTATATTCATCTGAATAATGAACAAATAACTTCAGAGAATTCGTGTGATTTGCCCACAGTCTTATGACTAAGCAATGAATGAGGCAATACTTCATCCCAAGGTTATGACTGGTCTAGTTTTACATAGTGCTCAGGGGCTACTCCAAGTTTATACTTGAGGGCTGTTTCTGGTGGTACTAGAGGACCACATACTGTGTCAGGGGTTAAACCCAAGCCTCCTGCTTAGGAAGCATGATCTTGTCTTTGAACTATCTCCTCATCCCCCAATTCCAGTTACCTAATTTCTCCTTGACAGTAATAGTCCTAGCTAAAGGGTGCATATAAGATTTTATTGTACCAG